CATTGGGCATTCCAAGACCCTCAGTATCTTGAATCAAATTAGACGTGATGATATTTATCTTCTGGGGGCTTTTAGGGGTTAAGTTAAATATGATAACTTGTAGAAGAGTAACAAGATGCTTGGCACACATGGTAGGCATTCAGTAAGTGAGGCATCAATCACTAAATGGGCACCGTTCTGTAACTATACAGAAGAAACAGAGTCCCTGAAACATGGAGATGAAGTAGAGTTTACTGTGACAGAGGATTGATGGCATGAATAGATGTGGCCCTTGCACCAGCCACGTGGACTTTGGAGATCATATGTGGCTCTGGAAAAGTAGGTGGGATTTGTGTGTGTTTGTGCTGTTGCATTTATATGTATTATCTGTTTCATTTTAATTAGTTTTTTAAATTAAAAAATTAATGCATGCACATAAACAATGAAAAGATGCTCTGTCCTTTTAGTTGGCTCAAGAGGTGCACAGCTTTGGGCGCCTCCAAGTCATGCGAGGCTGTATAAATTTATAGCTACTTTTTAAGAAGTTCTGACCCATCCAGTTTTGGGTAGACAGGAACTGAAGCTACTGGTTGGGCTAATTTGGAAGATGTTCAGTGTCGTCTATTAAATAACTTGTGGAATCAATCAGGAGGGCCAGGCTTTCAGAAATGTTCCCAAAGCCACAGCCCACAGTGGGCCTCCATGACAGCATCCGCTTTTGCCTCAGTCAGAAAGCTGAGGAGTGAGGAAGCTACCCTATGTTGCCTTTATCCTTGCCACAGCCTCCTACCAACTTGCTCTCAAAACAGGATGTGCCACTAGAGGCCCAGAAATCTAGGAACCAGATGCTAAGACCTCTGGCACAACTATTACTAAACACATAAATGCCTCCAAGAGCACGCCTCATGATGCTTGACTTCTGTCTACCTCTGCTCGATGCAACCTTGGTCATGTCCAGACCCTAGCTGCAGAGATTTGACCATTTTAGCTCTGTGGTACAGGAAGACTGCTCAGAATGATGTTGGACTGTGTCATTTGAGTCCGCCCATGGGATCCACCACAAAACTGAGTTTACCCTGATGCTGGTGGACATTCACCAAGGAGTCACATTTTACCACCTCACACCAACACCAATGGTGCACCTTTGGGCATTCCCAGAGCCTCAGTATCTTGTATCAAATTAGAGGTGATGATATTTATCTTCTGGGGGCTTTTAGGGGTTAAGTTAAATATGATAACTTGTAGAAGAGTAACAAGATGCTTGGCACACATGGTAGGCATTCAGTAAGTGAGGCATCAATCACTAAATGGGCACCGTTCTGTAACTATACAGAAGAAACAGAGTCCCTGAAACATGGAGATGAAGTAGAGTTTACTGTGACAGAGGATTGATGGCGTGAATAGATGTGGCCCTTGTACCAGCCACGTGGACTTTGGAGATTATATGTGGCTCTGGAAAAGTAGGTGGGATTTGTGTGTGTTTGTGCTGTTGCTTTTATATGTATTATCTGTTTCATTTTAATTAGTCTTTTAAATTAAAAAATTAATGCATGCACATAAACAATGAAAAGATGCTCTGTCCTTTTAGTTTGTGGAGCACCCTTATGCATAAAGCATACACGTAATATAGATCCTTACTTTTTCTCTGTGAATATTAGGTCATATTACATACGTGTTTTTCATCTTTATTTTTTTGCTCACTGTAACTTGAAGTTCAATCCATTTTCATTCATATAGATAGAATTAATGACCTATTGATGGCAGCTGGTTGTTTGCATTCTTCTCATTTACAGAATTTGTTCTAACACCCATCCTTGCACTCAAATGACCATATCTGTAGAATATGTCTTTAGAAGTGGAAAGGCTGGGCCAAAGGTTAGGTGCAATTTATAATTTTATCGATATTCCCAAATGTCTCTCAAACAGTTGTCTCACGTTATGCTCTTTACCAATCCTGTATAAACTGTTTCTGTTGCCTACCTCCTCCACAAGAGTGTATCATCAACCCTTTTGATTTTTGCCAATGAGATGGGGAAAGGGCACATGTGATAACAGGGTAGACCAAGAGGAATCCAGATCAAGGCATAGAGGTAAGGTATTAATTAGAAGCTAGGAGATGAGAGAAGGTAGGATTTAAATTTAAATTTAGGAGGGAAACGACCTTCTGACACTTAGTATGTGCCACATACTGGATCAGGCAGTTCACATGTTATCACGCTCAACTCTCAGAGCCACACTAACTCATAAACATTATTACCCCCGTTTGACTCTGACACCCAGTCTCCGTTCACTCTATGTCCTGTGTCCTTCTCACTGTACAGTTGAGGACACCAAGGTCTGAAGAGGCTAAGTGATTTACACATGGTCCTGAAGCAGTTTAAGTCAGGACAAGAGTTCCATTTTTTAGCTCCCTAAATACTACATCAGTCTGGAATTCCAGTCTGTACCTATGAGGTCCCAAAGGATCTGAACATGTCTTCAGGATGTATTTCATCCACTGTTTAATAGTTGTGTTGAATTCAGTCATTTCATACAATCAAAAACGTTCCATTATAGTTGAGGAGACGTGATCTTGAATACACTGGCATTTTTCACATTGGTGATAATAGTTTTCTGTAAGGTTCTTCCTCAGAGCTCCTGTGTTCCTTTTTATAAGAACTGCTATATTTACCCAAGGAATACTCTTGACAGAAGCTATGTGAGACAAAAGCTCTAAGCTTCTTGGGATTTTAAGATTTTCTTGTAAAGAATTACATGGCACTCCTGTATTCTAACCTTAGTCCTCTGGAATCTTAAAATTGGCCGGTAAATCCCTCCTTGAAATGCTCTTGGAGGCTAGGGCTGCCCTTTGTGCCCTTTTTCTCATTGTTTTCTGCTGCTTCAGAGCCCAGGATCACTGAGATTAGAGGTTTCAGCTGGGATTTCCCTCCCCTCATTCCCCATTTGTTTTCAGAGTCCAGGGTTTCTTCTGCATAGGTCAGGGCAGTTTCCACTTGAATTGAAAATATGACACTTCAGACTTTCTTTCAAATTTTAATGATGGTGAGACATTCAGTTAGAGCATTAAGTCCCAGTGAGGAGATGATTTCTAAATGGCACAGAAATTGGGAGGCATGGTAGTTGAGAATGTGACAAAAGAAGGGAACAAGAAGCAAACCTTTTATCTGGAAAAATAAACCTGGGCCAATGATCTTCTTAAAAAACTTTTTTGTTTATTTTTATTTTTATTCTTTTACACTTGAAACAAATTGATTATCCATATTTATGGGATACAGAGAGAAGGGAACAAGAAGCAAACCTTTTATCTGGAAAAATAAACCTGGGCCAATGATCTTCTTAAAAAACTTTTTTGTTTTTTTTTATTTTTATTCTTTTACACTTGAAACAAATTGATTATCCATATTTATGGGATACAGAGTTGATTATCAGTATTTGTGTACAATACGGAATGATCAAATCAGTATTATTAACATGTTCATCATTACAAATCATAATTATTCTTCGTGTCTATTACCCACTTCTCCCTGACCCCCGTCTCTCTGCCCCTCTCCCATCTCTAGTAACTATAGATCTATTCTCTCCTTCTGAAAGTTCAATGTATTGTGGTTGTTTCTTTCCCTCTTATATATTTTTTTTTAAATTAAGAAAGCTCAACTTTGGAGCTATGGGTGTTCTGGAGAAATAGCCACTTTTAATGTATTTACCCAAAGTGAGTAAAGTGTCAGTGTCAAAGAATGGAATTTGAGCACTGCAGTGATCTTAGAAATTAAGTAGCCCAAAGTCCAATTTTATAGAAAAGAAAACAGAGGCTTAGTAAGTATGAGGGTACCTCAAAAAGTTCATGGAACAATAGAATTAAAACATAATATGTATCTTTCCATCAACTTTTTCAAGTTCTATTTTTACACGAACTTTTCGAAGTACTCTCTTATGTGTTATTTAGCTCTAGTGAGTGTCGGCTGGGATTAGAACCCATCTCTCCTGTCTTCTTTGTATGGCTCAATTTCCATTCTGTGATCCACAGTTTATATCTGCTGAGACACTATGGTTGCTTGGGATTTTGTTCATTTGTTTTCTCAAAGTGGACAAGGACTTATTTTCAAAGCCATCCTGTTTTTAACTAAGGAAAGACCTGTTTTTGACTGAGGAAAGGGGTACATAAACAAGAAGACGAAAATGTTAAAGAAATGGACAAGATAAAGTAGATTGAAATATTTTTACATAGGAAGTTTAGCTGATAGGTAGAATGTGTGATTTTTGTTGTCTTACAGATTTCCATTCCACTTTTAGTTTTGCAGTGACTAAGAGCTATGTATTTATACTATCTACTGAAGTCAGGAAACAAAGTCATGCTGTCTTTGTGAATGATCAACTCCTTAGGACATGTTTCAAATTAACTATATAAATAATCTAACAAGGTCCATTATTGTAGAAAATGCAGTATGTTTTTATAACCAGATAGCTATTTGATTTTTCTCCCCTCTTTCCCACATTTGGATATAGATTGATATAAAATTACTTAAAATGCTGCATATAAATTAAACATTAAGAGGGAGATCTGGAGAGGCTAAGCTGCCCCATCATAATCTTTCGTTCCACAGTCACTGCCTCAAGGACACTCCATTCCATATCACATGTCCTTTTGAAAAGTGATCACCCAGGTTCAAGTAACACTTAAGCACAGCTGGCAGCTGCATAATTTACAGACCTTTTTTTGTTTTGTGTTCCTATTTTAATGAAAAACAGGAAAACAGAAGATTGTTTTCATACAGTCATGTCTTCCTTTTGCCTTTGCAGATCGGGGCGCTGAAGGACTACTACCACTTCTACCATAGCAGGACGATTAAAAGGTCAGTTCTCTCAAGCCGAGGAAGCCACAGTTTCATTTCAATGGAACCAAAGGTAAGAAGAACCAGTTGGGTGGGGACCAACAGGCAAAGCTTTGAATTTTTCATTGGTGATATCACACTAGGAGCTAGTGATGACCAGCATGAAGGCTCAGATTTCTAGAGCTGCCATACTGTCCTTTAGTCTAGTGTCTACGCTTTCCTCTTCAATCAAAAAATAGGCAGTAGTTTGGTTTTTACTGATGTGCCGCTGTCATCCGGTTGTAGAGCAGCTCAGGGACATCCATAAGTATGGGTTCTCATTGAGAAACGAGAGGGGGTAGGGGGTGAAGAAGATAGAGATTGACTGAGAATGGTCGCTGTGTTAAGAATACCGCGCTATCTACCTATTTGCATATAGATCTGAGGTTCTGCGAGCTCCATAGAAGCAGGGGTTTCTTGCAGAACCCTTAGGTCAGGCCTTGGGTCACCATGAAGCCTCTTGATCTTATCTGGCATTGATAGGGCCACATCATTGGCAGCCCAGAGACTAGACTATGTTTGGGACAGGAGGCATAGGAGCACAGAAGGGATAGAAGCTGGCTGTCACTCTTGGGGGCTCATCAAGTATCTTTTCTGCACCAAGTCCTTCTGGGATGTGCTCACAACATCCCCCTGGGAGAGCCTAGAAGTCAGTATGACGTGCCCGGGTTCTTCCATGTTAGAGAGGTGGGGCAGTTTTGAAGTGGAGATGGAGGGCTGAGGGGTGTTAGAGACAAATAGCAGACAACTAAGACTGAGGACGAGTTAAATATCTGTACTTATTAACTAAGTTAGGGGAAGGAACTGATAACTAATTGGCCTCTCAACATGGCAAGCAAAGAGGAAGAGAAGGGTAGTTGTGCCAACTTGCCCCAGTTCCTCTTTGGGCTCAATGTGCATTATTTTTTGATTAGGGTGTCTTTGCTTTGGATTTACCGTAAAAATTCATCTTTAAGTAAATTGGTACACAAGTCCCTACCACTGAGCATAGCAATCTCAGCTAGATAGTCCTTGAAAACTGTATTCCTTATCGAAGCAAAAAGGCCCGTTTGAATTAATATGCAAATCAGGTTTGTGGTTTGCAGTCCTGCTCTCTGTTACGTGCCATGGTTTATCTTGTTTAATTTTTCTCTAGAGTATTATGACACTGTTTATGATTGTGAAATTTTACCTTGGTGGTTAGAAAAAGCACATTTCTTCTAGGTCCCAGTTTTCTGTGGGTTATAGGAACATCCCCTAATACTTACACTTTAGTGGTCTGTGGATTGTATTTTTTTTCCTTTGTCTCTATTCAGAATCAAGTTTTTCTGGAAAAGCAATCTATGGGACATTCTTGAGTTAGCTATATTTTCAAAGCAAAGTCACATTTTTCATCTGTTAAACACCTTTTTTGAAGTTTTCTTGAACTTTGGTAATTAATAATTTCAATTCGAGACCTCAGATGCAAAGTCAATGTGAATTTGAAAAACCAAGTGCTAACCAAGTGCTAGCTGGTGTGGGAAGTAAAAACAGACTGTAATGAAGCATTGTTTTCATGATGAAGAATTTAGTGAATATGGAGTTATTTCAGTCCTTGTTATCTTGGGGCTTCTTGGTCTTCTTATCTCAGTGCATCTAATAGCTTATGCATGATGCAGCAGGGACCTTGGATGCTGGGACCCGTAGTCCTTGGAATATATGCCCTTCCTCACTCAGTCTAGAGGAGCAGGGACATTTCTGGTCAGCCCAAGGGTACCTGCTCTATTCTATTCCCTTCCTCCTCAGTAAAAGGAATATGCCAGAGAAGGACCATATCTTGCTCTCTTCTTTTTTTTTAAATTTAATTTAATTTAATTAATATTTTTTACATTCTTTGATGTTGTTGCAGAGCAGTTGGGAGGGAGGGGGAGAGGAGAAAGGGAAAGGAAATGGGATGGAAGAAGCAGGAAGGAGGAGGGGTGGGATTGAGGCATGTGGCACCCCCCACATTCCCACTGGGGAGACTGGGGGGCTTCCAGTGGTGGCTGGTCATTACCAGGCTGGGTGCAGATCTCAGGGGGGTGTGGCAGAAGCCCTTGCCTCCCACCACCCCAGCTCAGGAACCAAGGTCCCTTCTTGCTGTGGCTTGGTTGTTGTCACTGGGGTGGTTACATGTGTAGGGGGGACATGGCTGAGGCCCTCAGCCCCCTACCACCCTGGATCAGGGGAAACCAGGGCACTTCCTGTGGCAGCTCAGTGGTCATCACTGGGCTGGTTGCTCATGTTGGGGGAGGGGGCATGGCCAAGGCCCAAGGCCCCCCACCACCAGGCTCAGGAGAGCACAGGATGCTTCCTGCAACAACTCGGTGGTTGTCGCTGGGCTGGCTGCAGGTGTGTGGTGGGGTGGTCAAGGCCCTAGGCCCCCCACTGCCCCAGCTTGGGAGTCACTCTCCATATCTATGTCTTCTGCCAGCTGTTCCCATGCAGCATCCACATGGGAGGGCCACAGGTCTACCAGATTCGCTGATAGTGTGCCACAAATTGGGGTTTGCCTACAGTTTCTTCCAGATTTTCTGGTAGTTCATTCACTTATTGGCTATTTCTTGAATCCTAGCGTATGCCAGGCCTTGTGTTAGGTTCTGGTTATTTGGAGGTACTGTGGTAATCTAAGGGAGTGTGCTGTTGGGATCTCCATGGTAGTTTTCAGGTAAACCCAGGACGTACAGTGCTTCTCACTATTGGGGTGGGGGAGCAAGGGAGATGGGGGTCTGTGTACATAAGTATGTATGTACATAAGTTTTTATGTGAACATCTGGGAGCAAGTGGCAGACATGGTGCTGCTTCAACTCTAAAAACTTCACTGTGTATTTATTAAAAACAAGGACGTTCTGTCCCCTAATCATAAGTACAATAATACAAATCTGGATATTAACATTGATTCAGTATTACTGTGTAATCTACGGATGTTACTCAAATTTTTCATTTGTCTCTTTTCTGGACCAGGATCACCTTTAGTGTCATGTTTCATGTTTCCCAAGTCCCCCTTACTCTGTCATACTTCCTTCAGCTTTCTTTTATTTTTTTTGTTTCTTTCATGAGCTAGACATTTTTTCGAAGAGTACAGGCTATTTCTCAAGTTGTGTTTATCTCTTTCCCCATGATTAGATTCAGGTTTGGCAAGAATTCCAGAGAAGTGATGTGTTGTTCTCAGTGCATTAGCTCAGGGGCCACGTGATGTTGATTTGTTTCATTATTGGTGGCATTAACTTTGATCACATGGTTAAGATGATGTCTGCCAGGTTCCTCTACTTTAAAATTACTATTTTCCCCTTCCTAATTATTAAGTGTTTTGTGGGGAGATACTTAGAGACCATGAGCTCATTTTATATTTTTTTCTCCCAGCTGACCTCACTGGGAGTATAAAGCAAGTGTTGGTGTGACCTGCTTTCTTAGGCAGGTCTCCTTTTCTTTGATGTTGGGTGTGTGCACAGTGGGTGATTCGTGTGCCAGAGTGGAGGCACATTTGTGGGTTTGGACCATGTGAAGTGGCTTCGTGAAAAACATTGGTGATGCAACCTTAAAGTTATTTTTGATCACCACCTTCCCAAGAAAGGGAAAACCCACGGGTGAATTGCAGGGAATACACTCACTAAACAGATCCTGGCTTTTACTTGCTGTAGTAAATTGCATGGCTCGCTTTTTTTACTCAGAGGTGTCCAAAGAAGGAAATGCAAAAGTTGCAATGTTGTAAGAACAACCCTGTTGGTGCTGAGAAAATTCTGTGGTCGGTTGGGGCACATGAGCCTGGAGAAGAATAGCCTTGACTCCCCATATGTTAACATTATGTTGGGATTAACTTTTTAAATGACAGGTATTCACAGACTTCTAAGACAGCAGCACTAGTACAGTAATGCCACAGTTTTGCAGGAGGTGTTGTATGGGTTCCAGCAGTTGGGCCGATATAAGTCCTTCATCCTCCTGGTACATGTCTTCCTTTTTAACTGACCAACCTTTCTCTAAGAGACCTAAGTAAATTTCAGAAGCGATAGGCTGAGTTCATGTTCTCAAAGCCTCTTATCAATCTGTTCATAAATCTTTGCCAGCCACAGACATTTTGGTCAAGGAGAGTGTTATCTGCAGGAGAGCTTTGGATGGAGGCTCTTTATATGTTTTTTGGCTGCTTGTGAATACATGTGGTGGGAGGGGGTATGGGGTGTGCAGGAGGCATAATTTTCTTTCTTCTTACCCAGAAACAGAAGATGAAAATTCTAAATTCTCTGTTAGAGTAGGGCATATTTGATTTTTTAAAAATAAAAATGTAAATTGTGGTCAGGCTAGACATCCATGTCTATCTGTGTGTGGTTAATTACACAAGCACAGCTTCCTCTTTTTCCCATTAAAATTTATCGTGAAGCTTCTGGCCTGTCAACCTTTTATCTTTTCCAATCCTTTTTCTATCTTCAAATGTATTATACGTCAGTTTTTATTCAAATCCAGGACAGAGTAACCCCCTGCTTTGGGTGAGGGATGGGTACCTCTCCTGTCCTGATTCCTTGTAAGTCCATCCTCAGTCAGCTGCCTTAGCCCATGGTTGTGTGTGGCTGTGGGTCTCACATAGGAAAAAACTGTCCAGCATAGAATCACAGACTCCTTAGAATTAGAGTTGATTTAGTCTCATCTCTTTCCTACCCAATGCTGTCATATACCCTCCTTCGTACTCCTAAAAGGAATTTTTTCAGATCTGTTTGAGCATGTTCAGTGACAGGGAGTTCATTACTGAACAAGGCAAACATTTCTATATTTTGAAGAGATTTAACTTATTAGCTGTAATCTGATTGCCTGTAACTCTTACCCTTTGGCTCTACTTTCGCCTTCCAGAATTGTATATGGTGGTGAATGGATTTCTGCATAACAGCTCTTCACATATTTGATGCCCTTTGCTGCTTCTCCTGGAGAAGCAATTGTCCCTCAGTAAATGTGGCCCAGAATTAAGTTCAAGGCTCACAGAGCTATTTTGCCCATTTGTTACATTCATACATAAGCCATTTCCTCTGAAGAGAATTCTAACACAGAACA